GTGTTTAACCCACCGTGTGTTAAACCCACCGTGTGTTCAACCCACCGTGTGTTCAACCCACCGTGTGTTCAACCCACCGTGTGTTCAACCCACCGTGTGTTAAACCCACCGTGTGTTAAACCCACCGTGTGTTAAAACCAACGTGTGTTCAACCCACCGTGTGTTCAACCCATCGTGTGTTCAACCCACCGTGTGCTCAACCCACCGTGTGTTCAACCCACCGTGTGTTCAACCCACCGTGTGTTCAACCCACCGTGTGTTCAACCCACCGTGTGTTCAACCCACCGTGTGTTCAACCCACCGTGTGTTCAACCCACCGTGTGTTCAACCCACCGTGTGTTAAACTCACCGTGTGTTCAACCCACCGTGTGTTAAACCCACCGTGTGTTAAACCCACCATGTGTTAAACCCATCGTGTGTTAAACCCACCGTGTGTTATACCACCGTGTGTTAAACCCACCGTGTGTTAAACCCACCGTGTGTTAAACCCACCGTGTGTTCAACCCACCGTGTGTTAAACCCACCGTGTGTTCAACCCACCGTGTGTTCAACCCACCGTGTGTTCAACCCACCGTGTGTTCAACCCACCGTGTGTTCAACCCACCGTGTGTTCAACCCACCGTGTGTTCAACCCACCGTGTGTTCAACCCACCGTGTGTTCAACCCACCGTGTGTTCAACCCACCGTGTGTTCAACCCACCGTGTGTTCAACCCACCGTGTGTTCAACCCACCGTGTGTTAAACCCACCGTGTGTTCAACCCACCGTGTGTTAAACCCACATGTGTTCAACCCACCGTGTGTTAAACCCACCGTGTGTTAAACCCACCGTGTGTTAAACCCACCGTGTGTTATACCACCGTGTGTTAAACCCCCCGTGTGTTAACCCACCGTGTGTTAAACCCACCGTGTGTTCAACCCACCGTGTGTTCAACCCACCGTGTGTTCAACCCACCGTGTGTTCAACCCACCGTGTGTTCAACCCACCGTGTGTTCAACCCACCGTGTGTTCAACCCACCGTGTGTTCAACCCACCGTGTGTTCAACCCACCGTGTGTTCAACCCACCGTGTGTTCAACCCACCGTGTGTTCAACCCACCGTGTGTTCAACCCACCGTGTGTTCAACCCTCCGTGTGTTCAACCCACCGTGTGTTCAACCCACCGTGTGTTCAACCCACCGTGTGTTCAACCCACCGTGTGTGAAACCCACCGTGTGTTCAACCCACCGTGTGTTCAACCCACCGTGTGTTAAACCCACCGTGTGTTAAACCCACCGTGTGTTATACCACCGTGTGTTAAACCCACCGTGTGTTAAACCCACCGTGTGTTAAACCCACCGTGTGTTAAACCCACCGTGTGTTAAACCCACCGTGTGTTATACCACCGTGTGTTAAACCCCCCGTGTGTTAACCCACCGTGTGTTAAACCCACCGTGTGTTCAACCCACCGTGTGTTCAACCCACCGTGTGTTCAACCCACCGTGTGTTCAACCCACCGTGTGTTCAACCCACCGTGTGTTCAACCCACCGTGTGTTCAACCCACCGTGTGTTCAACCCACCGTGTGTTCAACCCACCGTGTGTTCAACCCACCGTGTGTTCAACCCACCGTGTATTAAACCCACGGTATGTTCAACCCACCGTGTGTTCAACCCACCGTGTGTTCAACCCACCGTGTGTTAAACCCACCGTGTGTTAAACCCACCGTGTGTTCAACCCACCGTGTGTTCAACCCACCATGTGTTAAACCCACCGTGTGTTAAACCTACCGTGTGTTCAACCCACCGTGTGTTAAACCCACCATGTGTTAAACCCACCGTGTGTTACACCCACCGTGTGTTCAACCCACCGTGTGTTCAACCCACCGTGTGTTCAACCCACCGTGTGTTCAACCCACCGTGTGTTCAACCCACCGTGTGTTAAACCCATCGTGTGTTAAACCTACCGTGTGTTCAACCCACCGTGTGTTCAACCCACCGTGTGTTAAACCCACCGTGTGTTCAACCCACCGTGTGTTCAACCCACCGTATGTTCAACCCACCGTGTGTTAAACCCACCGTGTGTTCAACCTACCGTGTGTTCAACCCACCGTGTGTTCAACCCACCGTGTGTTCAACCCACCGTGTGTTCAACCCAGCGTGTGTTCAACCTACCGTGTGTTCAACCCACTGTGTGTTAAACCCACCGTGTGTTAAACCCACCGTGTGTTAAACCCACCGTGTGTTCAACCCACCGTGTGTTCAACCCACCGTGTGTTCAACCCACCGTGTGTTCAACCCACCGTGTGTTCAACCCACCGTGTGTTCAACCCACCGTGTGTTCAACCCACCGTGTGTTCAACCCACCGTGTGTTAAACCCATCGTGTGTTAAACCTACCGTGTGTTCAACCCACCGTGTGTTCAACCCACCGTGTGTTAAACCCACCGTGTGTTCAACCCACCGTGTGTTCAACCCACCGTATGTTCAACCCACCGTGTGTTAAACCCACCGTGTGTTCAACCTACCGTGTGTTCAACCCACCGTGTGTTCAACCCACCGTGTGTTCAACCCACCGTGTGTTCAACCCAGCGTGTGTTCAACCCACCGTGTGTTCAACCCAGCGTGTGTTCAACCTACCGTGTGTTCAACCCACTGTGTGTTAAACCCACCGTGTGTTAAACCCACCGTGTGTTAAACCCACCGTGTGTTCAACCCACCGTGTGTTCAACCCACCGTGTGTTCAACCCACCGTGTGTTCAACCCACCGTGTGTTAAACCTACCGTGTGTTCAACCCACCGTGTGTTCAACCCACCGTGTGTTCAACCCACCCTGTGCTAAACCTACCGTGTGTTCAACCCACGGTGTGTTCAACCCACCGTGTGTTCAACCCACCGTGTGTTCAACCCACAGTGTGTTCAACCCACCGTGTGTTCAACCCACCGTGTGTTCAACCCACCGTGTGTTCAACCCACTGTGTGTTCAACCCACCCTGTGCTAAACCTACCGTGTGTTCAACCCACGGTGTGTTCAACCCACCGTGTGTTCAACCCACCGTGTGTTCAACCCACCGTGTGTTAAACCCACCGTGTGTTCAACCCACCGTGTGTTCAACACACCGTGTGTTTAGCACACCGTGTGTTCAACCCACCGTGTGTTAAACCTACCGTGTGTTCAACACACCGTGTGTTCAACCCATCGTGTGTTCAACACACTGTGTGTGCAACCCACCGTGTGTTAAACCCACCGTGTCTTAAGCCCACCGTGTGTTAAACCCACCGTGTGTTAAACCCACCGTGTGTTAAACCCACCGTGTGTTAAACCCACCGTGTGTTCAACCCACCGTGTGTTAAACCCACCGTGTGTTAAACCCACCGTGTGTTCAACCCACCGTGTGTTCAACCCACCGTGTGTTCAACCCACCGTGTGTTCAACCCACCGTGTGTTCAACCCACCGTGTGTTCAACCCACCGTGTGTTCATCCCACCGTGTGTTCAACCCACCGTGTGTTCAACCCACCGTGTGTTAAACCCACCGTGTGTTAAACCTACCGTGTGTTCAACACACGGAGGGTTGAACACACGGTGGGTTTAAGACACGGTGGGTTGAACACACGGTACGTTGAACACACGGTGTGTTGAACACACGTTGGGTTGAACAACACACGGTGGGTTGAACAACACACTGTGGGTTGAACACACGGTGGGTGTAACACACGGTGGGTTGAACACACTGGTGGGTTGCAGACATGGTGGGTTGAACACATGGTCGGTTGCACACATGGTGGGTTGCACACATGGTGGTTTGGAGACATGGTGGGTTGAAGACATGGTGGGTTGAACACACGTTGGGTTGAACAACACACGGTGGGTAGAACACATGGTGGGTTGAACACACGGTGGGTTGAACACCTAGTGGGTTGAACACACGGTGGGTTGAACACACGGTGGGTTGAACACACGTTGGGTTGAACACACTGGTGGGGTGCACACGTGGTGGGTTGAAAACATGGTGGGTTGCACACATGGTGGGTTGCACACATGGTGGGTTGCACACATGGTGGGTTGAAGACATGGTGGGTTGAACAACACACGGTGGGTTGAACAACACACGGTGGGTTGAACACACGGTGGGTTGAACACATGGTGCGTTGAACAACACACGGTGGGTTGAACAACACACGGTGGGTTGAACACACGGTGGGTTGAACACATGGTGGATTGAACACACGGTGGGTTGGACACACGGTGGTTTGAACACACGGTGGGTGGAACACACGGTGGGTTGAACACACGGTGGGTTTAACACACGGTGGGTTGAACACCCGGTGGGCTGAACACACGGAGGGCTGAATACACGGTGGGCTGAATACACGGTGGGCTGAAGAAACGCTGGGTTGAAGACGCGGTGGGTTGAACACGCTGTGGGTTGAACACCCGATGGGTTGAACACGCGGTGGGTTGAACACACTGTGGGTTGAACACACGGTGGGTTGAACGCACGGTGGGTTGAACACACTGTGGGTTGCACACACGGTGGGTTGCACTCACGGTGGGTTGAACACGCGGTGGGTTGCACACGCGGTGGGTTGCACACACGGTGGGTTCAACACACGGTGGGTTGAACACAGGGTGGGTTCATCACAATGGGTTGAACACACGGTGGGTTGAACACACAAACGGTTGAACACACGGATGGTTGAACACACGGTGGATTGAACACACGGTGGGTTGAGCACACGGTGGGTGGAACACACGGTTGGTGGAACATACAGTGGGTTGAACATACAGTGTGTTGAACACACGGTGGGTTGAACACACGGTGGTTTGAACACACGGTGGGTTGAACACACAGAGGGTTGAACACACGGACGGTTGAACACACGGTGGATTGTACACAAGGTGGGCTGAACACACAGAGGGTTGAACACACGGTGGGTGGGTTGAACACACGGTGGGTGGGTTGAACACACGGTGGGTTGAACACACGGTCGGTGGGTTGAACACACGGAGGGTTGAAGACACGATGGGTTGAACACACGGTGTGTTGAACAACACACGGTGGGTTGAACAACACACGGTGACTTTAACACACGGTGGGTGGAACACACGGTGGGTTTAACAATACACGGTGGGTTGAACACACTGGTGGGTTGCAGACATGGTGGGGTGAACACATGGTGGGTTGCACACATGGTGGGTTGCACACATGGTGGTTTGCAGACATGGTGGGTTGAAGACATGGTGGGTTGAACACACGGTGAGTTGAACAACACACGGTGGGTAGAACACACAGTGGGTTGAACACCCGGTGGGTTGAACACACGGTGGGTTGAACTCAAGGTGGGTTGAACACACGGTGGGTTGAACACACGGTGGGTTGAACAATACACATTAGGTTGAACCCTCGGTGGGTTGAACACACGGTGGGTTGAACACACAATTGGTTGAACACACGGTGGGTTGAACACACGGTGGGTTGAACACAAGGTGGGTTAAACACACGGTGCGTTGAACACATGGTGGGTTGAACATACGGTGGTTGGGTTGAACACACGGTGAGTTGAACACACTGTGGGTTGCACACACGGTGGGTTGCACACACGGTGGGTTGAACACCGCCCCATTCTCCCGCTTTCCATCACCTCGCCCCATTCTCCCTCGTTCCATCACCCCGCCCCATTCTCCCGCTTTCCATCATCCCACCCCATTCTCTCGCTTTCCATCACCCCGCCCCATTCTCCCGCTTTCCAACACCCCGCCCCATTCTCCCACTTTCCATCACCCCACCCCATTCTCCCGCTTTCCATCACCCCTCCCCATTCTCCTGCTTTCCATCACCCCGCCCCATTCTCCCGCTTTCCATCAGCCCGCCCCATTCTCCAGCTTTCCAGCACCCCGTCCCATTCTCCCACTTTCCATCACTCCGCCCCATTCTCCCGCTTTCCAGCACCCTGCCCCATTCTCCCGATTTCCATCACCCCGCCCCATTCTCCCGCTTTCCAGCACCCCGCCCCATTCTCCCGCTTTCCATCACCCCGCCCCATTCTCCCGCTTTCCATCACCCAACCCCATTCTCCCGCTTTCCATCACCCCTTCCCATTCTCCCGCTTTCCATCACCCTGCCCCATTCTCACGATTTCCATCACCCCGCCCCATTCTCCCTCTTTCCATCACCCCGCCATTCTCCCTCTTTCCATCACCCCGCCCCATTCTCGCTCTTTCCATCACCCCGCCCCATTCTCCCGCTTTACATCACCCCGCCCCATTCTCCCGCTTTCCATCACCCTGCCCCATTCCCCCTCTTTCCATCACCCTGCCCAATTCTCCCGCTTTCCAGCACCCCGGCCCATTCTCCCGCTTTCCATCACCCGCCCCATTCTCCCGCTTTCCATCATCCCGCCCCATTCTCCCGCTTTCCATCACCCCGCCCCATTCTCCCGCTTTCCATCAGCCCGCCCCATTCTCCAGCTTTCCAGCACCCTGTCCCATTCTCCCGCTTTCCATCACTCCGCCCCATTCTCCCGCTTTCCAGCACCCTGCCCCATTCTCCCGATTTCCATCACCCCGCCCCATTCTCCCGCTTTCCATCACCCCGCCCCATTCTCCCTCTTTCCATCACCCCGCCCCATTCTCCCGCTTTCCATCACCCCGCCCCATTCTCCCTCTTTCCATCACCCCGCCCCATTCTCCCGCTTTCCATCACCCCACCCCATTCTCCCACTTTCCATCACCCCGCCACATTCTCCCCCATTCCATCACCCCGCCCCATTCTCTCTCTTGCCATCACCCCGCCCCACTCTGCCTCTTTCCATCACCCCGCCCCATTCACCCTCTTTCCATCACCCCGCCCTATTCTCCCGCTTTCCATCACCCCGCCCCATTCTCCCTCTTTCCATCACCCCACCCCATTTTCCCTCTTTCGATCACCCCGCCCCATTCTTCCTCTTTCCATCATCCCGCCCCATTCTCCCTCTTTCCGTCACCTCGCCACATTTTCCCTCTTTCCATCACCCCGCCCCATTCTCCCGCTTTCCATTACCCCGCCCCATTCTAACTCTTTCCATCACCCCGCCCCATTCTCCCTCTTTCAATCACCCCGCCCCATTCTCCCTCTTTCCATCACCCCGCCCCATTTTCCCTCTTTCGATCACCCCGCCCCATTTTTCCTCTTTCCATCACCCCACCCCATTCTCCCGCTTTCCATTACCCCGCCCCATTCTCCCGCTTTCTATCACCCCGCCCCATTCTCCCGCTTTCCATCACCCCGCCCCATTCTCCCGCTTTCCATCACCCCTCCCCATTCTCCCGCTTTCCATCACCCCGCCCCATTCTCCCGCTTTCCATCATCCCGCCCCATTCTCCCGCTTTCCATCACCCCGCCCCATTCTCCCGCTTTCCATCATCCCGCCCCATTCTCCCTCTCTCCATCACCCCGCCCCATTCTCTGTCTTTCCATCACCCCGCTCCATTCTTCCTCTTTCCATCACCCCGCCCAATTCTCCCTCTTTCCATCACCCCGCCCTATTCTCCCGCCCCATATCACCCCGCCCCATTTCTCCCTCTTTCCATCACCCCGCCGAATTCTCCCGCTTTCCAGCACCCTGCCCCATTCTCCCGCTTTCCATCACCCCGCCCCATTCTCCCGCTTCCCATCACCCCACCCCATTCTCCCGCTTTCCATCACCCCGCCCCATTCTCCCGCTTTCCATCACCTCGCCCCATTCTCCCTCTTTCCATCACCCCGCCCCATTATCCCTCTTTCCATCACCCCGTCCCATTCTCCCTCTTTCCATCACCCCGCCCCATTCTCCTGCTTTCCATCACCCCGCCCCATTTCTCCCTCTTTCCATCACCCCGCCCTATTCTCCCGCTTTCCAGCACCCCGCCCCATTCTCCCGCATTCCATCACCACGCCCCATTCTCCCGCTTTCCATCACCCCGCCCCATTCTCCCGCTTTCCATCACACCGCCCCATTCTCCCGCTTTCCATCACCTCGCCCCATTCTCCCTCTTTCCATCACCCTGCCTCATTCTCCCACTTTCCATCACCCCGCCCCATTCTTCCTCTTTCCATCACCCCGCCACATTCTCCCTCTTTCCATCACCCCGCCCCATTCTCCCTCTTTCAATCACCCCGCCCCATTCTCCCGATTTCCATCACCCCACCCCATTCTTCAGCTTTCCATCACCCCGCCCCATTCTCCTGCTTTCCATCACCCCACCCCATTCTCCCGCTTCCCATCACCCCGCCCCATTCTCCCTCTTTCCATCACCCCGCCCCATTCTCCCCTTTTCCATCATCCCGCCCCATTCTCCCGCTTTCCATCACCCTGCCTCATTCTCCCGCCATCCATCACCCCGCCCCATTCTCCTGCCTTCCATCACCCTGCCGCCTTCCATCACCCCGCCCCATTCTCCCGCTCTCCATCACCCCGCCCCAATCTCCCGCTCTCCATCACCCCGCCCCATTCTCCTTCTTTCCATCACCACGCCCCATTCTCCCTCTTTCCATCACCCCGCCCCATTCTCCCGCTGTCCATCACCCCGCCCCGTTCTCCCGCTTTCCATCACCCCGCCTCGTTCTCCCGCTTTCCATCACCCCACCCTGTTCTCCCTCTTTCCATCAACCCGCCCCGTTCTCCCGCTTTCCATCACCCCGCCCCGTTCTCCCTCTTACCATCAACCAACCCCGTTCTCCCTCTTTCCATCACCCCGCCCCGTTCTCCCTCTTTCCATCACCCCGCCCCATTCTTCCTCTTTCCATCACCTCGCCCCATTCTCCCGCTTTCCATCACCCCGCCCCATTCTCCCGCTTTCCATCACCCCGCCCCATTCTCCGGCTTTCCATCACCCTGCCCCATTCTCCCTCTTTTTATCACCCCGCCCCATTCTCCCTCTTTCCATCAGCCCGCCCCATTCTCCCGCTTTCCATCACCCCACCCCATTCTCCCCTTTTCCATCACCCCGCGCCATTCTCCCGCTTTCCATCACCCCGCCTCATTCTCCCGCTTTCCATCACCCCACCCCATTCTCCTGCTTTCCATCACTCCGCCCCATTCTCCCCCTTTCCATCACCCCGCCCCATTCTCTCTCTTGCCATCACCCCGCCCCATTCTGCCTCTTTCCATCACCCCGCCCCATTCACCCTCTTTCCATCACCCCGCCCCATTCTCCTGCTTTCCATCATCCCGCCCCATTCTCCCTCTTTCCATCACCCCGCCCCATTCTACTGTCAACGGGAGCGTTGTAAGGCCCTGTCCTCGCTTGGGCGGAGCCAACCTTGTGGTCGGATGTGCGGGGGTTGCAGCCGACCTGCAGCAGTGGGCACGGGGGCCACTGCAAGGGCGCCAAGCTGGAAGGCGCCTGGCTGGAGGGCGCCGAGCAGGAGGACGCCGCCCTGGACGCCTGGTTGGCGTCCCGGACGCCTGGACGGCGTCCCAGGAAGCTGGACGCCGAGCTGGGCGTCGCTACGACTACCCGGGCGCCTGGTCGACGTCGTGGGCACGTGCACGGCGCTCTGGAAGGCCAGACGCCGTCTTAGGCGTATGCACGGCGTCCTGGGGGTCCGGACCCCGACTTGGGAGTCCCGGGGGGCCAGACACCGACCTGGGTGTCTGGTCGGCGTCCTGGGAGGAGGGACGCCGCTCTGGATGTTTGGTTGGCGTCCTGGGCGTCTGGACGCCGACCTGGGGGTTCGGAAGGCGTCCTGGGCGCCTGGACGCCGGACTGGGGACGCCGGGCATGCGTGGCCGGCTACGGACTGCGTGGGTCGACCAGACGTGGTTGCCTGGTCGATCGGGAAACCCGGGCGACGTGCGCGAGTGTCGCCAGGGTGGAATCTGCGAGGCCGACCTCGGGGGTGATATCCCGAGGTCGACGTGGCTGGTGGGCACAGACGCTGGCGTGGGGTCTGCCAGGCGTCTGCGTTGTGCACGTGACAGGGAAGTGCGCACCAACCAGCTGCGCGCACCTGTGAAGCAGGTGCACCGTTGTCTTGCGGGTGCAACGCTGTGCAGCCGACTTGCTGCAGCACTAGCACAGCGTGGACTTGCAACGTTGGCGAACTGCTACTCTGCAACGCTGGAGCGGTGCGAGCGCTGCTGTGCTGGAGCACGGTCGTTCGTGCTGCGCTGGAGGTCGACCAGCAGCCTAGCTAGCACTGATGTAGTCTGTGATGCCAATGTTGTTGCTATCATTGTTGTCATGTTTTCCTAGTGAAACTCTTGCCAATTTTCCCCGTGTACCAGCAAGAAGTGTGAACACAAGGAAACGTCTAAGTGAACGAACGCAGAGATCACACAAGCACACGTGCCTAGCCCGTAGTTTAGCTCCCGTTGCAGCATTTATCTCCGCATGGTGCGGTAAGCGTGGACGACACTGCGACGTAGTTCAGTCTAGCCGACTTTGCACATACCGATCGTGTTCGTAGACCGGCAGCCGTGCAGTCACTAGCATGCGCGTAGTCGACGCCGAGGTGATGGACACCCTGGAGGGACGGCTGGAGGATGCGAGGAGACGCCATGAGGCCCATGAGTATGGGGCGATACCCTGGGCAGTCGTCGAAGCCGGACTCCGCTCCGTGTGGGCGGCGTAGCACCCCCCTTTTCGACCTGCCTCTCCTCGACTGGTGAACAACGACGACGGCGTCGACGTGGGCGTCAACGCCGGTGGAGGTCAGGTCGGCAGCAGAGCGGGAAGCACGTCGAGGCAGCGAGGTGTGATACACGCCGGTGAAGTCGGCGGCGTTCAGGCGCAAGGGATGCAGTCGTCGGCGGCTGCAGGTTCTTCGCAGGGTGACGTCGGAGGTCGACGGAGTGGGCTGTCGCCGATATCGGCGTCCCAGGTGATGGCAGGTGGGATTGTGCCGAGCTACGGCTACTTCAAGTTTATGTCGGACAGGATCTCGGTCACCCCTCCGCTGGTCGGTCGACCCGACATTCTCACCTGGAAGGAAGCTATCGAGCCCCAGCTGGAGATGGCCGGGCTGATCGGCTTCGCCCGAGGGACCGTGGCGACGCCGGGAGAGCACCAACCCAACCTGCGTGCGGAGTTTCGCGCCGTGCAGCTGTTGACCTTCACGGTTATCTCGCGGTGCTGCTCGCCGGGCGTGCAGATCGCCTTGAAGTGGTGCCGGGAGTACATCGATGTCAAACATTATATATGTTGTGCTTGTTTAGGCTACAGTGGGTTAGCCTATAGGGGGTACACAATTCTAGAGTTAGGTACTTGTACTGCTTTCACTGTTAGTTCAATCATTTCTGTTCGTTCATTTCAACAATCGACGCCGGCCACCGGGCGTGGCACTTCATTGAGTCGACGTACCAGGTCACCGACGACCTGTTCATCGCCCAGCTGGAGGGACAGCTGACGCACCTGCGTATGGGTGACAAGGAGACAGCGACTGACTACTGCAACCGAGCCCGGCGAATTCTCGCCACTATCAGGATGGCCGGCGCGCAGTACTCCACGGCGTCATACATCACCCATGTCATGCAGGGACTCTCTAGCAGCTACAACCTGCTGAAGCGGCTGTCTATGGCGCCGAGCACAAGGGCGACACTCAACGAGGACAACCTGACCTCGTACATCCTGCAGGACGAGGCGATGCAGGAGGCTGAGCGGTCACAGGAACTCTTGGGGCAGGCCAACTTCGCCGCCCCGGCAAAGCAAGGAGGCCGACCAGGACAGCGCGGACAGTCTGGTGGCAGCGGGAGCGGTGGCTGGAAGTCAACCAAGTAGGTCGAGAAGAAGTCGACCAAGGACGGCGGTCGAGGAGGAGGAGGTCGACGTCGGGAGTGCTGGCTGTGCGGCGACCCCGACCATCTCTCCTTCGAGTGTCCCAACCGCAGTGACTCCGATGACGACGACGCTAAGGGAGGCCGTGGGAGGTCTGGCAGCCATCGTCCTCGTCGTGGAGGAAACCAGCCGCGCAAGGAGAAGCAGTTGACCAAGACATCGACTTCGGCGAAGGACGCCGACTCCGCTTCAGGCGGCAAGGGGCGAGACGACAAGACGGCGTCGTGCTTGCTGGTCGGCGTCGTGGAGCCGACCATCTCTCTGGCACCGGAGGCGGGAGAGGACTTCCAGGCGGTGGCGGCAGCTGTGCAGGCAAACCCGGCGGTGGTCCTGCTCGACAGTGACTGCTCCCACCACCTGATGGGGATGAAGGAGGTTTTTGTTGACCTGCAGCCGAGCGGCTCCATCAAGCACGTGCGCGGCTTCAATGGGGCGCTGCAGGACGTCCATGGCCGCGGCACCGTCGCACTGCAAGGAGAGGTCGGGAAGGAGGTGCTCATCCCCAACTTGTTGTACGTCCCGGGTGTGCGGACCAACCTGCTGTCGGCCGGCCAGCTGAAGGAGCACGGCGTGAAGCTGCAGGAGGACGGAGACGGCATGCTGCTCGTCTTGGCAGCAGGGGAGGTGCTCGGGCGGGCGACGTACTCCGGGCGAGTCCTCTGCACCGACCTGCGTCCCTGGACGACGACGTCAGCGTCAACCACGCTGGAGGTCGTGGCTCTGCGGGCGATCGTCTCGAAGGCGAAGTCGACGCCGGACCGGATGCATGCGAGGCTTGCGCACGTCGGCATGGACACCATACGGAGCTCGGCGAAGAACGAGGTCGCCATTGAGCTGGACCTCAAGTCGGCAACGGGCGCCGACTCACCGTCTGTCTCGTGCATCGGTGGGAAGCTGGCGCGACACTCCTTCCCCGACAAAGGCTCCGACGCCGACGACGTGCTGGCTGTCGTGCACATCGACTTGTGCGGGTCGTTCCGCGTGGCTGCCAAGGACGGCAGCCTGTACTTCTTGCTGCTGAAGGACCGCAAGACCCGCTACATATGGGTGAAGCCGGTCGCCAAGAAGTCAGATGCGTTGCAGGTGTTCGTGCAGTGGCTGGCGGTGGCTAAGCGGCAGACGAAGAAGTCGGTGTTGATGTTGCACTCTGACCGGGGAGGGGAGTTCCTCGGGAAGCAGTTCACCGACTACGTGAACGGAAAGGGGATCGTTCACGACCTGACCTGCCCATACACCCCGCAGCAGAACGGCATGGCGGAGCGGGAGATGAGGACGGTGGTGGAGTCGGTGCGGAAAATGCTGCTGCACATGGGTGTGCAGCACCACTGCTGGCACCTCGCTCTACGGCAGGCCGTCTGGGTCCGCAACTGCCTTGAGAGGTCGACGCTGCCACCGGGAACAACGCCGTACCAGCTGCTGACTGGGAAGAAGCCCGACTTGTCGCTGGCGTGGGTGTGGGGCTGCATGGCGCAGTTCCTTGTTCCTGAGCAGCAGCGTGGTGGGAAGCTGAAGCCGAAGGCCAGGTGGGGCCTGCACCTTGGCATGTCGGCGGCGAGCAAGGGCTGGGAGCTCCTCGACGTCGACACCGACCGACTGGTCACCACGTCGGACGTGGTGTTCTATGAGGAGATGTCGCTGGCCGAATGGAAGACGGAGCAAGGGCCGGTGCCCGGCCGCTCGTCGTCCACCCCGCCCTCTGACACCTCGTCGGCGACGCTGCCGCTGCTTGCCGAGGTCGGTGAGCTTGCTACTGCGGACGTCGAGGACGTCCGCCCCCCTACCCCTCCCCCTCCGACCCCTGCCCCTCCCCTCGTGGCCGACCTGCGTGGGCTGACCTCGGTGTCGGCCTACGGCGATGAGGGGAGTAGTGGGACGTCGCCTTCGGCCAAGTGCATCGCCAGTGGCCGACGTGACGAGCGGCAGGTCGACGTGGGCTTACAGTCGACGTCGACAGGGGAGGAGCAGGTCGAGAACCAGGTCGAGGAGCAGCGGCCGACAAAGGAGCAGGCAGCCGTGAAGCCGACCAAGGAGCAGTCGGCGACCGGGTCGTCGGCAGGCGAGCCGACCACAGGGGAGAAGTCGGCTGGGACGCCGACCACAGGGGAGCAGTCGGCTGGGACGCCGGCTGAGGAGCAGAAGGACGCTGAGGGCAGCAACGACAGCGACGATGGAGGGGACGCCGAGGAGGTCCAGCCGGGACCACAGCGTTCAGGCCGACTTCGGAGGCCGCCTGACTTCTTCGTCCCCGCTGCCTTCACCACGGTGTATGACGTGGACGATGACGACGACCTGTTGTACGACGACGCCGAGGAGGATGAGGAGTTTCCGGAGCTCGACCCCGACATGCTAGCCGACCCCGAGCACCGTTGGGACATCTCGACGATGACGGTGAAAGAGGCATTGGCAAGCTGGAAGGGCCCAGCGGTGAAGGCCGCCATGGAGGAAGAGATTCGCAGCCTCATCAACATGGGCACTTGGGAGCTGGTCAAACGCCCGCCGGGGGTGAACGTCGCGAAGAACCGGTGGGTGTTGACGACAAAGTACCACATCGACGACACCGTCGAGCGAGAGAAGGCGAGGCTGGTCGTGAAGGGCTTCACACAGGTGTACGGCGCCGACTACGACGAGACGTTCGCGCCGGTGAGCAGCTACGTCACGCTGAGGATCTTCCTCAGCATCGTCGCCGCCATCAACCTCAACCTGATGCAGCTCGACATGAAGAACGCCTTCCTGCAGAGCAGGCTCGATCGGGTACTGTACATGTCCCAGCCGGACTACTTCAACGACGGAACCGGCCGGGTGTGCAAGCTGCTGAAGAGCCTGTACGGGCTGAAGCAGTCGCCGTTGTTGTGGTACTTGGCGCTCAACGATGTGCTGGTCGGCGCCGGGTGGAATAAGAGCCAGGTCGACGAGGCTCTTTACTTCAAGGTCGGCGAGGGTGGAGTGGTCTGCTGGGTGCTGGTCTACGTCGACGACCTGCTTGCCGCCAGCAGCAGCACCGAGATGCTGAAGGAGCTGAAGGAACTGCTGGAGTCCGCCTTCGAGCTGCGTGAGATCTCGCCGGTGCAAAAGTACCTTGGGCTGGAGATCGTGCGTGACAGGTCGGCGGGGAAGCTGTGGCTGCACCAGCAGGGCTACGCCGACAAGCTGCGTAGGCGCTTCATCGACGAGGAGCAGACCGGGCACACCCCGAAGACGCCGGTCTCGGTCAGCGCCTACGCCGAGCTCACCTTCGTCGACGAGAAGGCGCAGGAGCGACAGGAGGAGGAGTACTGGCAGAAGGTCGGCTCGCTGCAGTTCGCGGCGACGACGACGAGGCCGGACATCGCCTTCGCCTGCAGCAAGCTGGGGAGAGGCCTCACGGTGAGGAGCGACCAGCACTGGCGCGAGGTCGACCGTTGTCTCGCCTACCTCACCAACACACGTGACACTACCCTGGAGTTTGGCGGTGGACCTGAGTCAC